ATTGCTGGTTCCATGGCATTCTTTGTTTTAATTGTTCCAACAATTCATTACTTAATTTCGGAGTTGATTGTTCTTCTTTGGGAACAGCTTCATCATCTGCAAATCCTGTAATATGAGCAGTCGAAAAACTACTAGATAGTTCTGAAACTTTTCGTTCAATCCGAGGTACAACAATCAGTCTGGGATGAAAAGTGGTTTCATCTACTTTAGTTTTTTGGATAATACATGTAGTAACCCAATCAGGAGTCACAATGCGAACAGAACAATTTTCTTGAGTCATTAAATGATTGTACTTAATGCCTTCAGCCTTTCCAGCAATTAAATGAGTTGTTTGACTGTTGAGGTTTAAGGAAAAAGTGCCCCCATAAAATGTTATCATTGCCCACAGCATCGAGCTATCTTCTTTAGAAACTTGTGAAATACAAACAGAGACACCTGAAAACAACATATTCTCAGCAGCTACAAATGGTTTAATAGGAAGAAGTTTTCCACATTTTTTTGAGAGAAGAACCCAATCAACAATTACAGCAGGTATTTCGTAAAGATCTTTGGCATCTGCAATATCAGTGTCAAATGGATCATCACCAACAATGCAATGAGTTAAATGATCAGAAAAATAATTTGAACCCTCTGCACCTCCTTCCTTCAAAATGTTTATGACTTCCTCAGAAACATTTCCTGTGATTTTATATTTTATGTTAGCAAAAATATTCGCACTATTGGAAGTGGAAGCTACCTGATTAGTTGAGGAACTCTCTTCCGACATATTTTAACCAGCTAAAAACTACATTGATTTTAAATAATTCACTTTCACTATAATATATGAGATTTATGTATTTGCTGTTCATAAAAAAACACTTTAAACAAACTAAAGTAAAACCGTAACGCCACCACCTTCCAAACTCAACCAAACCAGACTAACCTGCCTAGCTCATTACTAGACCTTTTGTAAACTCCCGCAAAAATATCGATAGTTGTTTTAAGTTTGTTATAAAATTTGAAAACTAATTTAATATCCAAATGTGAGTTAATGAATTATATAATTTAATTGACATACGTCAAAATAATTATTTTCTAAAAATAAAGAGCTATAAGCAATGTTTAATTTTGCACGATTTCAGTTCAATTTGCTTTTAATACCGCGATCTATCGGCATAATATGCAACTTCATCTACCCAAATGGTTATTTATGTAAATGAGTATAATAACGTTTACTTTGAAAATATTCCACAAATAAATATATAACTTATTCGGTTAAATAACAATTAAATTTTCCCCACAATCTTGATATTTTACCCAACTCTTATAAATGTTTTAGTGCACAGTTATAAAATATTTTATGATTTTATAATATAAATTTTATAAGAAATCATACTAAATTCAGAAATTGATGAATGGTGTTTTGAATTAATAAAAATTAAAACAATTTGATTTAAAAAATAATTAAAAGTTAGGCATCAATAATTTAATTATTTTGTTAAATAACATTGTATGCCATGCTTATGTATTTTATCCCTTGAATTTTTTTGAGTTTTCACAGCAGAAGTATTCTTATACTATTACTACTTGTTTAATTTTTATCCATAAATATTTAATTATTTAATCACATTAAACATAGAGGTGAATAAGTGGATATGAGTGAGTGGATTTAACTTTACAAGCATTATAATGAAATAGTTATCAGAAACACATCAAAGTCAGTTTCAAATGAGGAAAATTAGTCTCTTCAAAATTCTTAATTTGAATTAATCCATCACAAGCCATAAATGACTATTTACTTTGAAGAAATTCATTTAAAAAAAAAATCACCATAGATTAAATAAACTTTATGTGATGAAATATAAACAAAAAGAAAGAAAGAAAATTAATAATAAAATAAAAATTTAAAAAATGTTTTTTAAATAATTATTGTATAATGAATGATATAAATAAAAGCAAAATAGAGAAGTCTGATTATATAATTTTGATGGAGAGGATAGAAAAATAAATATCTGTTTCTTGATACAGATATACTTAAGGAAACTGAGAAACTTGTTTATCTATCTTTCTCCTGTTCTGAAAGTACTTGTTTAAGGATATTACTCACTATCCATACGTAATTATAATTGTTAAAGAGTCCGTATTTGTGCCGGCACTGCCGTGGTTATTGAGTAGCCAATACAATACTTCAATAATTTAATTTCTATTATTGTGGCAGTCTAAGTAGTGCTTCATTATCAACAAGTTTTCTAAATGTCACAGCAAAACAATAACTTACTCAGATTTCCATTTTAATTGTAACTAAAGTCTATTTCCAAGAAAAGATAATTTATCTGATAACAATGAAACAAGTGTAAACAACTTGTTTCATACTTATTCATTCAATAAGTATCGGTCAAATAAATACTAAATTATACAAATAGTATTATTTAATTTTTTAGCTGATGTTTTGACCCAATTTGCAGGTCTTCATCAGGGTGTTTCAACTGCCTCCCGCAGTGCTACATCCTACGCCATGATGAAGACCTGCAAAGTGGGTCGAAACGTTTGCTAAAAAATTAAATAATACTATTTGTATAATTTAGTATTTATTTGACCGCACTCCCCGATCAACTCCTTCTCATATCATATCACGGTCAACCATCTCTGTCTCCGGTTGTTTTGAACTTTTATGCACCTTGGCCTTCCAATTTTTACTATTTGAATTAAGAGTCCATGTTAACAAAATTTCCCAAAACAAGTTCAATCCCATTATTGGAAAGTTATTGTAATGAGCTTAAACAGCCAATTTTTGTAATGTCTTTTTGAAGTCAGTTTTTTTTGTTAGATGTCTTATTTACTGACGGTGAATAATTTATTATTTACAGTGAATTTGATTTTGTGAAATCAATCAATTTTATGAAAAACCATATAAGTTATTTCAGAGCTGTTGGTCAATTTTAATGGTTTGAAGTTTAAAATACTTTATTAATACTTACTGTAATTTATAGACGTTCCAGCAAAGGGTTGCCTCTTTTTCTTGTTAATTATTAGTTTATTTCTTATTACCTTATTAATAAAACTGAGAAATACCTCAATTTATTCATTCACCATATTTATTTTAGCAATATTGTGCTATTCATTTACTATACACGAATTCAGAACCAAATAAACTTTTCTATCTAAATAGATCACCATCTAGGACATCTGTTCAATTTACTAAAAATTTATAGAATACTAGGAGAATGTGTTGTATGATATGAAAACAAGCTATGTACCAATTCAAAAAATGTCAGGCTTTTTGTTATTTTTCGAACAAAGTTCATAATAAAGTTACTATAATACAAAGTTAAAATAAAAACTACGGCATATGCTTTAGATCACACGATAAAAGTGAAAACATCAATAAGGTGAGATTATTAATATGAAATATAAAATTTTTTTGTTCTATATTCACTAATTGCTCTACTTGCTTTCTTATACTTCAATCCTTCTTGCACGACAGGTTTTTCTGTAGGTTCCTCTATTTCTTCCTTTTTCCCTCAACCTGCAGACGTACCACGAGGTAGTGTTTTAAATCCTCTTCTCATTTCTCTCTACACATCTGATATCCCCGAGCACCCTAGCACGACCCAAAAATCCTACTATTACTTCAGTTTCTCTCCAAAATCACCTACATGATCTAGAAAATGATTCAAGAAATGGAAAATCAAAGTTGATGGTGGCAAGTCAAGTTATGTTAGCTTCTCCCTGAGAAAGATTTCATGCCCTGCTGTGTCAATAGACAAGCCAATTTCCTCAAAAACTCATATGCGATATGGACTATACTTGGACAAAATACTCACCTGAAACATACATACCAAATTAAAATAACAAGAACTGACCAGACGATATAAACAACTGTCACATCTTTTGGACTACAGTTCTCCTCTCAACTTATAAAATAAGCGACTAATCTACAACACCATAATACGACCTATTTGGACATACGGAGCAGAACTTTGGGGTTCCTCAAAACATGTCCACATAAACAAAATACAAACTGCACTATCCAAAATATTTCAAAAGTCATAACTGCACCCCGGTATATTTCACCATACACAGCAACATGAACATTCCAACAGTAAAAACTTAATTACATAACAAATACACCACATGCCACAATTGAACTATTAATCCACTAGTCCTCTCTCTTTTTTCTTCTCTGTTACCAGGAGAGCCTCAAAGAATAAAAAGGCAGTGGAGTCAGGATCTGCTCACAATATGAACAAATTTTCAAGAAATAGCAGACAAAACGAACGACAGCACATGTGTTCAATCGATGTGTTCAAATGCAGTTGCAAATATAATATAAAATAAAATAATATTCACAAAGTAATAACATTAACAATTTATATAACTATAGTAGTGTAAAAACTACTTTTTGTTCTATATTCACAAAATAATAAAATTTTTAATATATACAATTATAATTGTGTATAAATTACTATAGTAAACTTTGCCGTGACTGATCTCATTTGTATTATACTCTAAAAATGATGCAGGAGGTTTATGATTAATAAAATATATGATGAATACTTTTGATTGAAATCTATTTGCTAAATATCTAAAAAACTCCATCACTTTTTAACAAAACTTCTGTAACCGGGGTCAGTAATTTATCGAAGCTATATTGAGTGTAACAAAAAATCGAACAGAAACATAATTTCTTATTTTTATAACTAATTAAAAAATCAGTCAGCTTGTAACTACCTCTGATTACATTTTATTTCAGTCAAATAATCAGCTTTTAAAATGGTTAAAAATTATAATGAAGAGGTAAAAAATGAATGCAGAAGAGGTAAAAATAAGGGATTGGAAGTCATTAAAGAACAAGATGGGCTCAAATGAGAGATAATGGCTTTTAAATATTTAGGAAAGTGAGCTTAATAGGCGAGTAAATAAAAATTAAGTTAATTTTTTAAACCAATTATTATTTAAATTAAATTAATCATATTATAACTATAAAAAAATTAAATTCAAACGATTAAAACTTAAGTTTTTATCACATTAACTTGGTATAGACCTCAGTATCAATAAATAAACATATTCATTAAATGATTATAAATATTCATTGTCTTAATTACAATCAATCCAGCAATATATAAATTTTTTTTCATTTTTTTCACAGCTTAAGGGATCATATCTCCGATATCCAAAAGCCAATGTATAATAATTTCTTAAAAAATGATAACTTAATTTCAAAAAGCAAAATTGAGTTTTTTTTTAACCTGAAAATTCATACTTGCTTTAAAATTATATACATATAAATTTTTGGACTTAAGAAGTTTTAACTATAACATATAAAATAAACTAATAATAAAAAATAGTAACAGTCTTGTATAAAAATATATATTTACAATTAATATAGTAAATAACAATAACAAAGTTAATTACTGGTGTCCTTAAGAGTGTTCGTATGCAAATCTGGATCCTCAAAAAGCAGGGGTCTTCTTTTGAATTCTTTCTCTTTTTCAGTCGTGATTATTTATTAAGGAAAACATGTTTAAAGACATTGAATTAATAATGCATTAAAGTAAATGATTCCTAAACCAATTTAAAAGTTTATAGAAATATTACAAGAGAAAAATAAATTGTCACAAATTATTAAATATTTTTTAATTGCTACAGCACATTCGACAAACGGCAGGCTGGAGATATCAGCGAATTCTATGCAAACATTAGGAAAGAAATTGTGGGATATAAAGCGAGAAATACGCAAATGCGAGGAAATTACAGCATTCTGACAGCATCTAAAGAAAAGATATAGAACACATCTGGAAAGAATATTTTCCAGGAACTTCTCAATCAAGAGGACCCCACGAACGAAGAAGACATGGATCACAGTGAGGGCCTTGACCCAGAAGAGATTGAAAAACCAGATATACTGGATGTAGAAATAGCTATCGAAAGACTCAAAACAAGAAAGGCGCCAGGGATAGACAGCCTACCAACAGAACTGTTTAAAGATGGGGGAGACAATTTGAGAGTTAAGCTACTACAACTAATTCAGAAAATATGGGAAGAGGAAAGGATATCTCAGGCTTGGAAGAGGGGCCTAATCTGCCCTATCCGAAAGAAAGGCTCCATGTATGAATGTAGTAGTTACAGAGGGATAGTACTCCTTCAGGTTGCCTACAAGATAATGAATGACCTATATCCTACTTAACCAGATATATCCGTATTATGAAAATATAATAGGCAATCCCCAAGCTGGATTCAGAAAAAGGAGGAGCAGGCTATGCTAGATCTTCATCCTAAAACAAGTACTCGAAAAACGATGGAAAGTAGCTCAGAACGTCCATGCCCTAATTGTCGATTTCAAAGCAGCCTATGATTCTGTGGACAGAAGCTGTCTTTGGAAAATCATGACTGAAGTGGAAGTTCCCGTTAAGTTGGGAGATAGACAAAGGCGTGTATAAATGACCCCAAATGTAGAGTCCCAATAAAGAGAAGTATCTGAAGCCTTCAAAGTTCGAACGGGCTTACGCCAGGGCGATGGACTATCACCGATGTTGTTCAACTTAGCCGTGGAGAAGGTGATAAAAGCAACATCACAGGAAAATTAAGGGGTCCTTGTCAGAATGAATAATAAAATCCTTGGATACACAGATGGTATAGCTGTCCTTGGAAGTATAAGGGCCTTGAGTATAAGTATTGGAAGTAAGAGGGCCTTGAGAAACTCGCTAAGACTCTGATAAGAGAGATTGGCCTACAAGTAAATGAAGAGAAAAATATATGATAATGAACCGAAAATTCCACCCCAATATCAGGATCTGTGTAGAAGGAAAATAAATCCCGAGAGTAAAAAATTTAAATACCTCGACTCCACAATAACCTCAATGAATGACAAACAGGCATAAGTAGATCAGCATATAACTAGCACAAATAGAGATTTATTCTATTTTTCAAAGGTATTGAAATCCCGAATCTCAAATTAAGGGTGAACAATGCTATGACAAAGCCAGTTCTAATATATGGCTGTGAGACCTTACCTGAGCCGACTTTACCTGAGTGTTACACTTCGGAAATCTGATGGCTCAATCTAATCCACTCACCACAAAAAGTGCAAAACAAGCCTTAAAGAAATTTTCACTTAAAAAATATAATTACAAGGAAAAGAATTAATTGAAAGATTAATTTTGAATAAATTATTGTGGGAAATTCATTTTTTTAAAAGGTTAAATATGAAGAAAACTAAGATGAATAATCTTTTGAGTTAATAAATGGTCAAGGAAACATACACATGTCTCAAACCAATGAGTTTGTTTTTGAAACATCAATCATAAAAATAAAAAAAATCAAATCAAATCAATCTCCAAAATTTTAACTGTGATTTAGAATGTGCAAATGTTATTTAATACTCTGTTAATAGAAAAGTTCATCAAAGCACTGCAATTTTTTAATCCTTCCAAAAGAACAAAAAATTGAAAGTCAAACAAAATTACACATAGAATATTAAAAAAACAATGTAAAAAAAGGATATCTGTGAAGAAGTTTGAAAAGGCCTGTTCCAATCTGCATCGGTATTCCCATTATAATTGATTCTGAGACACCTGAAAAAGGATAAAAATTATAATGTTTAAATAAAACTTAAACAAAATTAATAATTATCTATAGTAAATATTGTCACCTGTAATAGCATCAGTCTGACCATAATATGCTGCATCAAATAGATGATCAGCAGTTTTTTCAAACTGAAAAATAAAGAAGGATATTATTAATCAGAATAACTTAAGTAAGCATTCGAACAAAGAAGTTGGTAGTTCAGGAAAAAAAAAAATTAAGTTGAAATTATTAAGATAATGAGACACTCTAACTCTAGCATGCAATCTCTTCAACCTAGCTGGTATACAAACAACAGGCACTATATTTACAAAAAGCGCTCAAACATTAGCCTACGCTGATGACATATGTATTATTGGGACAACCTTGACAGCTATGAAGGACGCTTACAGTTTGCTAGAGGCAGCAGCAGTTAAGATGGGACTTGAGGTCAATGAAGAAAAGACCAAGTATATAACAGACAGCCGTCATACTGATCCGACCATCCAAGTTGGAAGATACAAATTTGAAAAAGTGCAAAAGTTCAAATATTTAGGATAAATAGTGACTGCGGATAATGATATGAAACAGGAGTTGAAGCTAAGACTTGTTGCCGCAAATAGATGTTATTATGGTGTCCTGAAGTACATGAAAAGCCGTTTACTTCTAAGATCAACTAAATTTATCCAGTACAAAGTCCTCATATGTCCGGTTTTGACATACGGATGTGAAACATGGACAATGACGAAGACCAGTGAGAGCAAAATATTAGTTTTCGAAAGGAAGATCCTTTGGAAGATATGTGGTCCAGTTAATGAGAATGATGAATAAAGAACCAGCCGACTTATATAAGCAGCCAGACGTGGTGATATATATTGTAATGTCAAGGTTACATGGCATTTTAATAGTGGCGCGAAAGTGGTTACAGCACCAACTACAGGAAGGAAGTGCGTGCGGATGGTGGGGGAAGCAAGCCTCATGTAACTCAGAATGTGACCGGTCGCCAAGAGAGAAAGTAATGAGCCGCCAAGTCAGAATGTGACAAGCTGTCAAAAAAGGAGAAGGTGACGAGCTGCCAAGTGAGAAGGTGCTAGCCAGCAAGCTGAGAAAATAGAAAAGGAGTACTAGCCGGTTGATAGAGGCCACTAGTGGAGATTATTATATGTTGGAAGAAAAAACATAGCAGAAATTAATTAAGTAGTACAGAAAACGGAACATTCGTAAGTAAGAAGAGATTATTTCACTGGCAGGCGTAAACATTTGGGTGAGTACCATTTATGTGGACAGAGGGATAGAACCAAAAGTTTAGACCGGGACAAATTATTTTATAAAACTATTTTAAATTATATATAACTGTAGTTAGTAATTAGTAAATTAGTGTAGATTATAGTTATTTAATGTTGAATGAGTGTTCAGTTGTCAGAACCCAACCTGAGAATTTATGTTATGTGTAAAATAAATAGTATATTGAAAAAGGAAACTCGTTGTTTGATTTTGGAGGGAAAGAGGAACGTTACAATATACGGATAACAAGGCTGAAATGGGTAGGCTACATTGTACGGATGGACGAGACCTCAATCCCAAAGAAGTTGCTCAACATGGAGCCAGGAGGAAAAAGAAAAGTAGGTAGAAAACTAAGATGGAAAGATGGAGTAAGTGCTGATGGCAGAATCCTTGGAATCAGGAATTGTTGGGTGGCTGCTCATGACAGGGAAACATGGAGGAAAACTCTTGGGGCAGCCAAGATCCAGTAATGGATTGTTGAGCTCGGGATGATGTTAATGATGACAACATAGTGAGGAAATATGTGATCTTTTGAATGAATTTGATGTGAAGAGGGGCAATTTGAATTATGGACTTTATATACTGTGACATTTCAAATGAAGAAAGAGGGTACTGGTACAGACGGGGGAACTGGTCCAGCAAGTGGGTCATATACAGGATCATTTTTGCCAATCCCTGATGGTTACCTGGAGATTGCCGGTGCGTACTTACCAGAGTGAGAATGTGAAGATTCATTTCCCGGGACCGTCGAGATATGAAAATTAACCGACACAAGAGAGAATCGAACCCACAACGTTCAGAACCAGACACTCTGGAACACATGCTCCCCCAATGTGCTTGACCATCAAGCAATCAAAAAAGAGGCAAAGGCAGCAGTATATAATGTGAGGTTTTTAATGTTTTATTTTTGGTATTATGTTTTAGTAATGTCTAAAGTTTTTATTTAATTAACGTTTCTTTTGAAAAATATTTCATTTGAAGTCAATCATAAATCCTTCTATAAAGACTTTTGCTACAATTACAATGCAGTTATTGCTATTATACAACAGTGAATAATATTTAACATAATCAACAAGTTTTTCAATACTATTATGATGGCAAAAAACGTTTCTGACAATGTTGATCATGAGACACAACTATATACCAACTGTAAATAAGTGTTACGATTCATATTGGTCATGGCTTAAATAAGATAACATAAACCACACTTTTGTAAGAAGAATAAAACATTTTAAATATTATAAATCCACCGACATTGATGCTATATTTCTTACCGAAGCTAAATTAAGAACAGATTCTTTCATTTTTGCAAGACCCTGCCGAGTGATCCCGAGGACTTCTCCTCTGCAAGTCATAAGATCAGCCACCAACATCGGATGTCTATGGTCTATAGACATACCATGGTTTTCCATAACAAGTTTTATTTCTGACATTATCGTAGACCTGAAACAGATAAATAAAGTAACAGCTGGTAATATATTTTATATTGATAATATATTGAGCCATTGACTTCTTTATTTATAAAGTGCAATAAAGTAATCTCAAATTATTTCTTACACTTTTACTGAAAAATAAACTGATAGGAGAATATTTAAAAATGCACAACTCTAAAATCTAAAATGGGTATTATTGTTGATAAAGTCACGCAACCTACTGGCTTATTAAGATGAACTGATGAAATAAGAAATGGAGAAATTAAAATTGATTGCTTATTTATTTTGGACCTATGTGGGAAGTTGGTTTAATGGTCTTTAAATTGGTTTAATATTATACGAGTGCATGCAGTAAGAGGATGAGAACAGCTTAGCTCTGAATAAAGCTCTAAATGTGAGGGGGGCGGGGTGGCCGAATGGGCTAAAGCGTGTGCACAGCACCGCGAGTTGCCTGGCAACCGGATTACTGATTTGAGAAGATTTAAAAAGTACGAGTTCGCACCCCGGTGCCGGAGGGATTTTAAATTCCCCGCCCTCACCCTCCGGCCCGGGAAAATCCCATATAGCCTAAAAGGCGAGGTAGGGAAGAACAAAAAAAAAAAGCCCTAAATGTGACCAAAAGGAATAATGATGGTGAGGCTTATTGTGAAAAAAAAAAAAATGTTAATAAACAAAATAAAATACCTGGCAGCTTCAATCCCAAGAGTAGAAAAGACTTGATATGTATTATTTGAAGTGCATTTAGTTCCCTTTATACCTCTGGTCGCCATAACATCTCTCAAATTGTCACCTAATAACAAATATGAATTGAAAATAAATTATTGTATAGTTTATTATACTAGAATATTTAAAATATTTCTTTTACAACACTTACCTTCCACAAGAAGTTTATACCTCTTGACTCCAGCATCATCTTCCTCATGTATGACTGCTCTATTAACATTTGGTACTCCCTTTTCAGAAATTTGGAAATAATTTTAGAAATTAATTTTGGAAATTAATTCAACTTATATAATAATACTTTCTGTTAAATTTCACACACTTGATCATGGAAAATAAATAAACAAATTAAAATTTTCTCTAAAGAATAATAAACAAATATAATTTTTTAAATATTAAAAGATAGCAAATCAGTTATACAGATTTTAAAGTAAATTTAAATCATCATTACATCAAGTACCTAATTGATGAGGTTACAATTTTTTACTTGGTTTATAACAAGATTTAATGAGCTAATGGTCTACAAAAAACTTAAAATTTCATTTAAGCTTATTAGAGGAGTGGGGTAGCTCAGTGGTAGGGTGCTGATCTTACAATGCTCGAGGTCCCGGGTTCGAATCCTGGCTCATGGCAGACAAATTATTTATTCTGTTTCATCGGCCATGGGACAACCTGGGGATCAAGAGACCCTTCTGGAACACACCCATCTTCTATAAAGTGAGTACCCTTAATTAAATAATTAACTAAGGAGAAAAAACTAGCGGATGAGCGTGATCTCAGTTAAATCACCTCCTTGCACAACCGTTGACTAAGAAACGGTACTTTCCCTAAATAATACTGCACCTAAGACCCTCCATGGGTTGTAGTGGTACAGTTTTTTTTTTTATATTTTTAAAATACGAAAGTATTATTTAATTATGAAACAAAAAGATACAAGAAATGAAATATATATAGTTTTTCTTGCTGATAATTATCACATTATCATGGAGTAAAAGCAATGCTAAACCAAAAATCTTGAGTATAACTTTATGAATTGGGTAAAAAATTAATGAAATGTAACAAACTTAAGTTATTAGTAAGTGACTGATAGTTGAAAGGAAAATATTGTTAACTAGCAAATATTTTAATATCGTAGAAACTTTTATTTGTAATATTACTACGTTTTACGACTGGGTACCTTATATAAAGAAGAAAAAAATTAACTGTTTAAGCCTTAAAGAGGCTGAAAAATGAATTTACAACATGAAATTATTTTAAAATAATAAAAATGCAGTAAAATTTAGTAATAACATTTTTATTTTAGTAATAAATTATGATTACAGTAGAAAATTCAATGAATATATCTAAATCATGTCAGAAACTATTTAACTTAACAAAAAATATTATATCATGTACTGCAATAAAATAGGAAATAATATGTGATCAAATAAATACTAAATTAAAATTTAATTACCTTAATGACAACATTGAGAAGATTTTCTTTAAGGTACCTAAGAGATCCATCTAAGGTGTCCTTGCCTGCTTGCGTATTCACAGTAAGAACAGATGAAGTTTGTACAAGTACTTGTAGGTTTTTTATTTTTAGTTTTGCCGTACAAATACTGTAATGAAAATATAAATATAAATAAAAAATATGAATTAGCGTAATAATATTTTTTTTTTTTTCAACAAAACAACTCAAGTTGGTAAAATGTTAAGTAAAAAGAGAGTATAGGTATCCTCCATGTTATACATGTTCAATTTGTTTTATGAAGTCGAAAATGCAGTATACAGCAACATGAAACCATTCAAATTTAAACGATAAATTCATAAAATAGGGATATTTTGTGTAATATTAGATTCCTCTAATGGTTATAACTATTAAAATTATAATTCTCAACTGTAAAAATTCTTTCAAAACATTTATGTTTGTTAAAAAATACTGAGATTTATTAGGTTAAAATCCTTATGCTCATTATTATAAAATCATAAACAAAAATCTTTCATTATAATAATACTTTAAACATTTTTACTAAAAAATATAAGAAGCTTCTTAAGGACGCTCACTTGTCTACTTCGGCCTGTCTTGGCTTGACTTAAAAAATAACTTTGATTGACTAGGCCGCTCCGCGCTTTTCAAACCTATCCAGATTCCATCTTTTTACAACAAATACGGACTGAAGCCAGGACTGTATGGAATTCCCAATTTCAATATTTGTTTACAATCCCATAACTCTGTTATTTTTCATCGATTTTGTTATTTCTTTATACTATCACTACTAAATATACTACTTTAACTATGCAATGGATATCTATTTATTCATAAACCAAAAATAAAATTTGAACATAAAATTACATTTGTGATCTGTTAATTGCTTTGCAATGGGCAAATTTTGTTGACGGCTTCTTAGCATCCCATCGCAGCATCATAGATCAGCTCAGCATATGTATCGGGAGGATCTAGGGGTATCTTGTGCGATTAAGTATATATGTTAGTGGGTCCATGTAGTAAATATTCGTTTTATGAAAGTTATGGTAATTTTCTTTTACAGTGCCTTGAATTGTTGGGGTGTTTAAGTCCTTTTGTATTATTTTAGCTGTGACATAAAACAGAGCTGAAATGTCTGAATTTTCTTAATGTTTGAGGGTTTAGCAGAACTCCACAGTTCTATACCGTAAGTCCAAATCAAGGAAAAAATTTTAAGAAGAAACCAAATTAAGATTGGATAGAAATTAAAAAGGCTCAAATTTTCACTGTATGAGCAATGTGTGTCTAAATATTTTTACAATATTATCAAAATAAAAAAATCTATCAGTTTTCGAGAAACTAGTTTTTCAGTTGATTGAACCAAATTTGAAATTAATAAAATTTAACAAGATTTAAAAAATATATAATATCTTATTTGACATATAAATAAATATATGCGCATACAAATAAATAATGTCTTTAGAAGCTAAAACTAGAATTTTTAAATAATATTGAATACTTAATAGTTGACCGTTGCATTATTAAGGAAGGAGATGGTCTGGGGTTGTGGTCATAAATTAAAATAGTGAGAAAACTATTTTATTAAAAGCCAACGTTTTGACCTGACTTTGCAGCAGATGTGTTCAGCAAGGACCTGAGAGAAGAAGAAAAAAGAAGACCTGCAAAGTCGGGTCGAAACGTTGGCTTTTAATAAAATAGTTTTGCCATTGTTTAGTCAATTTATGACCACCACCCTGGACCACCTCCTTCCTTTAGAATTTTTAAACTTTGAAAAAATAAAAATTGAATTTTATAATAAGTCATCTCACATTATATACCATAGTTTTTTTTTTTTTCTTTTTTTTTTAGTTATATTTACTTTTACAAAAGGCCGTAGTGGAGCCAGGGCATACAAGTGTGCGCATGTTTTTAAGCTAGAATGCGAATTGGGACAGTAAAATTCGGAGCAGACCAATTGAGTGCCCTGCCTTACTCAATATTTATAGTATAGTTTAAAATGTACTTTTTTTTTTTTTTTAATTTTGAACATTTAAATACTTTTGTTGATATAGTAAATAGATGTTTAAAAATCAGATTAAATTGACTCAACGGTGAACTTAACAGATGATTGAAGAAACAAATACAACTATAAATAAATATATTATTACATTATCATACATTTATATTATTTTATTAAGTTGTGACAAGGACCCTACCTAATCATAAATAAATTTAATCTCAATATAGCAGTAACATTTCCTTTCTAATTAATTTCTTCAATAATGTGTCAGTCAGTAACTTATTTTTAGCAAAAAAACAATAAATAATAAAAATAAATTATAATTAATGAGATAAAGCATTAAAAAAAAAAAAATTACCTGTACTTAATACTGTCTGCATTTACTTCCAATTTTAAAAGACGAATTCTTTCAATATCTAACTTTATGATTAGGAAACAGTCAGATGGAACGTATACCTCTTCTATGTATTCCGTAACCTACGAATGAATTAATATGTCAATTTTATATTTTTCTAAAACAAAAGTTGAAATATATCTTAATGCAATCAAAACTGTGAAACATTATAAAGATGGATATTTTTCTTGATTTTTTTTTTTTTTAATAACCAGAATTATAAATAATCAGAATTTTCAATCTAGATTTGTTTTATTCAGCTTACCAACCTTTCAACCCAAGCATGCGATCATCATCAGGATAATGGGTACTACCTAGTTTAGCAACAAAAGCTAAGCAGAGTGGTTTTCGTTCTTGTTGCTAGACTTGGCAGTGACCAATGCCCTGATGATGACCCACACACTTGTGTCATAACGTCTGCAAGCTGAATAAAACAAATATAGTGATGATTCTGGAATGAACTGAAAATAAAGCCTATTCCTGTGAGCCAAAATGAAATATAATTTTTAAATTCTCATTTAAATTTTTATTGCCAATGTTTGAATCCAAGCACTGAATGTGTTCAAGTACTCGTTTGATTCACCAGTACTTGAACATCTACAATTCTGGTAACATGCCCTGATGATGACCCAAAAGCTTGGGTTGAAATGTTGGCAATAAAAATCTTAAAAACTGACCGTCCTGACTATCTATCACCCATAAGAAAATATTCAATTATACCTGCAATAAAAACTGACATTTATTTATAAAGAATAGACCATTGGTAGTTAGTATATTTGTTGTTGCATGATGATGAATTAAATAAATAAACTATAAAATTTATGATGATTAGTTATAAACATGTCAAACACTGCATAGTAAGGGATCTTTAAAAATACTAGTAAAATTTAGGAAATATTTAAAATTAAATATCAATTTAACAACTTTATTTAAGGCTGAAACAATTTTAGAAATTTTTTTGATAAGGTATATAATATTATTATTTTATGAAATTCTCAATTTATAAAAAAAAAATAGTAATAATATTTTTAAAAAATGAATAAGACAACAATAATAAGATAAATAAGTTATGAATTTTATAAATTATTTTTAATACATTTAAAGAATTCTCACCTCACCAAGAGTTGTCTTCTCAATCCTACCTTTTACCTGCCTAGCAAATTCAGGATCAGTATCATTTACCAAATAAGCTGTAATTATAGGAGTACTAATAGACTTGCTGGCATTAATAATTTCCTTAATTCTGAAAAAGATAAATTATTGAATGCAGAAAGCCGATATTGCATAAAATGAGTAATCAATCATGTTTATCAACAATGGTTCAAATCCAGACTGTTAGAGTTTTGCCATTTATCATTTCTTTTTTTTTAAAACAACTTTGAATAGTAAATTCGATCTAAACTTTTAAAATTTGAGGTGAACAATTTTAGTCATTAATGAGAATAAATAACGAAGTACCTAGGAACTCCCTGAGTAATGTTCATTGAGGCAACACCTGCGAAGTGAAATGTTTTTAGAGTCATCTGAGTACCTGGTTCACCAATACTCTGAGCAGCTAAAGCTCCAACAGCAGTACCTTATAAACAGAGAGAAAAAATGTTTGTAAATCCTAATAGTCATAAAAATTAACATTCAAATAATAATTTTACTTCCTACCTGGTTCGATTTTCGCATTAAGATATTTTTCCCGACAAGTCTGGAAGAAATGTATCAGTTGTGATAATGTGACTCTTTCCAGCTCACTGATAAGAGGAGATTTCTTCTCCCATCCTGTCTGAATTTCTTTACATTTCTTTGCCTGATCCTTCACAAAGGACCTATCAAAAATAGATAAATAATTACATCATTGTCAAGAAAATTACCATTTTCAAGTTGGCAAGAGGAATAAAATATTAGAGAAAATGAAGTTTTTCCAGTTAATAATTAAGAATTCTCATTGCATGGAACCAAAGATTTAAACTTAATAACCAAATAAGGAATAAAACTATTCCATATAAAAAGGCACCATTGTAAGAAATGAAGACCACAATGGAAAACAGACTATATCACATTTTTATTTCAAAATTGAGTTGTTGGAGAGATAATATAAGTAGTCTGTGATATAGATCTCTTTTTAGCAAATTATTATTATCCCTCTAAAATTTTGTGAATGGTCCATCTTATTGTAGCCTACAACTAACTTTTTTATCTAAGAAAATTCTTAAAAATAGAGCGTTTTCTCATTAATTAATTAATTTAAGTAGGTACTAAAAACAAAGGAATACTCATCTGCTTACCATTTGAATCATGAGATAATTTGAACAGAAAATTAAGAAAAAAAGTGGCTTACAAAAATATTGGGCTGCTTGGCCTATATAAGTTCGTTATTTTGATATGTTGGGGGTGGAGGTCTAACCAAATGGTCCAATATTTTTGTAGACCCTTTCTTTTCGATTTTGTGATCAGTTTATCTTATGATTCCAGTGGAAAGCAAATGAGTATTTATGAATTTTTATTACTTCATTAAATAGATAAAGTTTGCCGATCTCAAAATTGAAAACACCCCATTTCTGAGAATTTTTGTAAAGAAAAATGTTGTAGGTTACGATAAGATGAAGCCAATCAGGAAGTTTTGATTGATATTAATATTTTGATAAAAACGGGTCTGTACCGTTGACTATAGATGAATGAAAACACTTCAATCTCATGAGGTCAAAATTATTTGACAATGCATGTTTCTTCCCCTTCCCCTTCTCTCCCATTACCTTAAAATAAAATATGTCAATCACAAATTCAATACTAAAAATAATTAAAATTTATTGGATAGCCTTTAAAACCTCAGCTGTTCTTTGAATTCATGACTGCAACAATTGAACTCCGATGAATCCAACAAAACATCCGAACCTTCGACGACATCATCATAACTTAATGGCTTTTCCTGCCTGAAGGGGTAGTTAGCTCGTACACTGTCCCATACTCTATTCAGCTCCACAGGACAACCATTTCCTAGAACACAATTTGACAATGAAGAAAAAGGAAATGAATAATCTGATAAGTATACTTTTTTTTTAGTTTTAGATCATATTGTAATTAAGCATTTTAATAAGATGTTATTAACAAAAATAAATAATAGACTTCTTTTTTTAAAGGCTTTTAAGATGAGATTATGTAGAAAACCGATACAATATTATTTTGATTCATTAATAATTATTTTGTACTAATTCTAGTATACCAAACATACAGCTATTACTTTATATACTATAACTGTATAATAAATATACAGATTACAATACAAATACTACTCTTACAATACAAGAATTTCATAACATAAAAATATTTTTCATTGTTATCAGAAAATACCTTCCATGTAAGTAGGGTCTAGACCATCACCACCGTATACAAACTGGATAACATCTCCAGTTGAATTTCTAACAGTCATGTCATAATGGAGGCAGAGGTCTTCCAATGACTAAAAAAAATAACAAAAATTATATATTACAAGATTAATTTCTAATCTTTTCTTTATTTCTGTTTTATTATTTTTCATTATTCATATCAATGTTAATACAATTACCTTGACCAATCGCCTCTGCATATAACCAGTTTCTGCAGTTTTGACAGCAGTATCTACAAGACCTTCTCTACCACCCATTGTGTGAAAGAAGAACTCAGTGGGAGTAAGGCCAGAAAAGAAACTATTTTCTACGAAACCTTTTGCTGCAGGAATTTTCGCTGCAAGAAAAGTAATTAGTAGACAAAATATTTAAATATAATTTACAAATGGTTTAATTTGAAAGATTAATCAATTAAATTTAACATAAAAAATCAGAAATAAAATATAATAAAGAAGGAAATAGTATAATTTAATTAAAAACTCTTACAGTGACGTTCATAATGAGGAAGAGCTCTGTCTTCAAAACCATTAGGAACGCGCTTTCCACTTATGGCTTGTTGGCCTACACAGGCAATCATCTGGGATATGTTTATAAATGAACCTAGAAGAAAGAAAAAGCATTTAATTTTTTTTTTTTACTGAAGTATCTTGTATCGACAATTACATCAAAATTAAATAGATCAGTTCGTTCAGCAAACACAAATAACCTCACCTATCTCCTCACCTATAAAGATACACGTTTCTTTAAATTTAATAAACTCAACAAAGGTCTGTCCTCGGTTCCCATCCTGACAAAGCCCATTCTATTTTCTGTCAAAAGAAAATTTAATTTGGCAAACTAGGAATTGAACCGGAATAGCCATTTTGCATTACATGTGACCAAATGTATTTTGAGTATAAACTCTAACAAGTCATTCATTCATTACAAAAAAAAAAAAAAAAATCAAATAGTACTTTATAAACATTTCACTGTGTGATTAAACTTACATCTAGAATTGATTATAATTTATAGAATGAATGCAGTTTTTTAAATACTAATTACTGTGACAGTGTGTTATCTTTTATATCTAAATAAAATATATCATTGCAAGCTTAAGAAAATCAGAGAAATAAACACAATTTAATTTTTCTTCATAAATGTGAGGATTAATTGAACTTTAAGTCGTTTTATTTTTTTGTTGTTGATTCTATAACAGTATTTCCTTACCAAGTATTGAACATCATCATCAACAAGATAATTTATTTTGTATACATTAATTTTGCTTCTTTGGAATTCAATTTTTTGTAAAATAAATAATAAAATAATATTAACAGAGATAATGATGTAGAGGTGGTTGATCGTGATATAATATGAAAAGGAGTTGATCGGGGTAATTAAAAATACTATTTCTTAAAATTTAGTATTTATTTGAACGCACCTTCCGATCAACTCCTTCTCATATTAACAGAGATAATGTAATGATAAATATAAATTGTTAATGTTCTGTAAAAAGGGTGAATCAAACAGTTCAATATTTTTCAAGAGAGCATAATTGACAAGACATTTCAGAAAGTAATATTTTCATCATTGTTAAATCAAGTTAATTAGATTAACATGGAGATGTTCAAATATAAAAGTTACAAACTAACCTTTTTTAAAATTATATGTAACAAATCGAAAAAGGCAAAAATTGAAAAATATCAAACTTGTTGAATTTGCCATTTTTTGCAGAATGCTGATGTAATGTTAATTATAAACATATCTCAAAAATTTTGGGGGGAAAAACTATAACATGCCCAATAATAATAACTTTTTTCTACACAAAATAAAAGACACCAGCAGTAAGTAGCAACTTGTTAAGTGACTCAGAAGAATTCATGAACTTCTCATAGCTATGAGAGTCCTCACTTTCAATATCCGTGAGAACAGAAATTCACCGATCAAGAATAAAAATATATTTATTTGAAAATGCTCAGGGAAAAGATAAAAGCCCCACTACCCTCAGTATCCAAACTTGAACTCACAATGTTTAGTTCAAAACAGGTTGCTCGGCCACCCCCTTTCTTTATGATTTGTAACCAACCTATTACCTTTAGATCCTGCAAGTGCCATGATGAGAGGGCTGTTTTGGCTTCCCAACTCATTGAGGCAGGCTTTTCCTGCTCTGTCTCGAATTACTGAAAGCTCCTTAAGAATTACAGCTTCAAGAGTTTCATCTGCACTGCAACCAGGCTGGCACTGGAGCTTACCATCTGACTGCTTCCGTATGAACTCGTTACATTTTGTATAACTGTAATGGTAATAAATATATTATTTGGACTCTGTTTATTGAACAAGTAGTATTAAGTTCTAACTAAATATTCAATGACCTGCATTCCAATTTATTAAAAAATATAGACTTAAATTTTCAAGCAATCAACACAAAAAATATTTTAATAGGACACCCAAAAGAAACAAGTGAAATTCATATCGTGTATTTTGCATAAATAGCAATACTTTTAAATAGTCTTTCAATACTTCAATATAGCGGAATAAATGATTAAATACCATGGCCGGAGTCTAAACCGGGAATGGGAGAAATAAGAGCATAATGCTTTACTCACTTAGCAACCCTGCTCTCTCTTTTTTTCTCTCTATTATATAAAAAGTTTTTAGTGACCATGTCATTGTTAGTGCCATGTAACGAATACACCACACTTCTTATTTCCAGAATTATTTCTTCCTTATTATGGTTACAAATTGGCAATAAGAATAATTATAATAGCATAATAATATAAATTGGCAATAACGTGCCATGTATAATATAAATTTTTAAAGAAATTAAAAATTTGTCCGAACTGTGGTTTCATTGCATTAATTTGATGTTGATAAAAAATAATACAATCTGAGCAACGAGTAGTACAATTAAATAAACAGTTGTATAATTTATAAAATGGGGAATTGGTCAGATGTTAGGCAGACAGAAGCTACTCTCCCTAGTCTAAATAAAATATATAATTAAAGAGTCTTACCCAGCATCCAACAAATCCTGTTTAAGCTGCAGAAGTCGAGGACTTGGGGTAACATCTCCAATACCAATTGAAAAACCATAATTAATCAGGTAGGCTGAAGTCATTCGACCTGTAAGGTACAAAAATAAAATAATAAGATCATAATCTTGACAATGCAATAGTTTAAAAGAAAAACAGTAGGCTATCTACGCACTTAATCTCCACATAGCAGTCGTAGCAGCTTCTTCACCCCAATCGCAGAGGAGTACATAAAATATGTTCGCTTTACCTCCGGAACCAAGGGTTGATTTATCCATCACACCAGCTAGCAGCTGAGAATTGCGAATATTGATAACTTCAAAACCATAATAAAAATTTATTAGTTTACACATACTTTATTGTGATTAAGTTTGGAAAAATAGAATAAAAAAAAAAATTAATTGAAAACTTACAAGAATCATTAATGCACATTTCTTCACCACTCGTGTAAGCCCTTCCCTTTGTCCTCAAATTGGCATTTATAGGGCACCATTTGTTCGGTTTTATAAGCAAGCTGAATATTTGCTTTCCAGTCCACAGCCTTGTTGGCTAAAATATAATCATGTTAGTATCCTCTTAAGTATGCATTAGTATTATAATTTTTTTTTTTTAAATAACAAATACAGGATCCCTTATTGTAAATGCTAATATTTACAATATTAGTAAAAAAAAAAATTTACTTTAGAATTTCTTATATGACTATTCATACTTTTTATTATTTTTAAATACTGAGCCAAAATTTTGGAAGATAAAACATCGCTTGTATTAAAATATTAACAAATAAAACTTATTGGAATTAAAAAGTTTCAATCCTATACATTAAAACTATCATTCATACTTAAATTAATTACTCTTAAAAAACGCCGAGACTGAATAAATTTCAACTTAAATAATTTAACATAACCGTTATAACCCTTTGTTCAGATGTCTATTTTATGTAACTATGAGTAAATTTTTTATTCTCTACATTACATTCTCATTCATTTTTTATTGGATTATATTTCATTGAAGTTTTAAACAGTATGGCCACCATTCTACCATTATGTGATGTTCATTTAATATGTTCTAAAGGAACTTTATCCCAGAATAATAAAGATATTTTTTTATTTGATTTCAACAATATAAAAATATATTTTTGCAAACTGTCAAAATAATAATTAAAGCAATAAATGATTATAGTGCTTTATATACTATAAAAGAATCAAAAAGTTGTTAGAAAAAGATTATTTAACTATAAATAAAAAAAAAAAATCGAAATAATTGAATAAAAGGATTTCTAAAAACCTTCATTATAGCTGGTGGCGGTAGATCAATTGTCATGTTGATGTCTTCACCACAAAGAAGAGTTGCCGCCAATTGACAAGCCTCCCTCTTGTTAAAGAAAACACTTCTTTGTGTGAGAAGGTAAGCTCCAGTGATGAAATCTTGAGTTGCAGCAATCAGCAGTTCTCCATTTCTGGGGGTTACTAGGTTTGCTTTGTTCTAAAAGAAACAGATTCGAAAATAGAGAACATTCGAATATATAAAGGTACACTAAAAATATTTTGCATTTTCAAAATTCAAAACTTTAATAAAAACACTTACACCCATCAAAATTAAAGCCTCAGCCCTAGCTTCTTCTGTCTGAGGAAGATGAAGATTCATTTCATCACCATCAAAATCAGCATTGTATGGAGTACAGGCACATTCGTTAAATCTATTTTTAAAAAAGAGTGATAACAACAATAATAAAAATACTAATAATGATGTAGAGAGGGTTGACCATGATATAATATGAGGAGTTGGTCCGGGGGCGTAACCATTAAAACACTATTGTAAAAATTTATCTTCTTATTTTTCTTTTTTTATTAGGAAGCTTACGTTTATAATTTTTTCATATTTTAGGCAATAAAACTTCCAATTTTCTTCATATTTTTTTAATTATGTTTGTTTTCTCTTATGTTTTGGGACAATTTTCCCATCATCAGAGCAATCTTTATTTTTACTTTCTTTTATTGATGTGGCACCACTTGTCAAAAAAAGAAAGTAAAAATAAAGATTGCTCTGATGACGGGAAAATTGTCCCGAAACGTAAGAGTCAACAAACATAATTTAAAAAATATGAAGAAAATTGGAAGTTTTATTGCCTAAAATATGAACAAATGTAAAAATTTATTATTTATTAGAATCCCTTCCTTCCCTGACCAATTCCTTCTCAAAAACACTAATAAATCATTTAAATGTGGGTATAATATACCTAAATGTTCTATTCTCTAGTACTCGAACACGGTGCGACATAATACTCAGTTTGTGTAAGCTTGGTTGACGATTGAACAGGACAATATCTCCATCCTTTAGATGCCTTTCCACAATATCACCTTCCTTATAACATAACAGAAAAATCATAAAAATAATATAAAATCAAATGTTTTAACTACTTATAAAATAGTGAATTACTTCACTTGATTTTTATTAAGAACATTCATTTACTTTTACCAGAGAGTATAGATTATAAAAAATTATTTTATTGAGAAATAAAGGATCAAATGATGACAAATTACATATGAAAATAAGATTCTATATAGCTAACCTTCAATTCTTGGGCTATTTTTGCTCGATTTCCATATCTAAGAAACTTTTTAAATGATTGCCCTTTCTGTTGAACAAAATTAGCACCAGGATGGACATCAGGCCCATTACATACCAACTGCCTCAACAGTTCTTTATTAGCAGGTTGAACTCTTTCAGGAAATGTCAAGATTTTAGCAACATGTATAGGAACACCAACCTAATAAAAATGTTTTTTGGAACAATCATTAAAATAAATAAATTGAAATAAAAAACACTCATTATTTTAATTATAATTCACCTCTTCAATTCTGAGATTAGGATCAGGAGATATCACAGTACGTGCTGAGAAATCTACCCGCTTTCCTGATAAATTTCCACGGAATCTGCCGTGTTTACCTTTTAGTCTTTGAACAAGTCCTCTGCTTGACTTTTTCGGCTATGAAAAACATAACATTAATTATTAAATTCCAATCATATCATAGATAAAAAAAATATTGTAATTATTGTTAAATTACTGAATAAAATGAAAATTAACATAATTTCCTCAAGTCACCTGCATGTTAATGGGTATTCCAGATGTCTCACTATTTATGTAGAGAGCACAATGTAATTGCAAAAACTCCCAATCTTCAGCTATCATCTGTGACTTAGCACCAGAATGTTTATGTTTCATGATAACATCGTTGATGAAGACGATTTCCGATAGTTTCATAGTAAGATCATCTTCATTGCTGTTGAACATTATAATGTTGATAAAGAACTTTTTTTGACCATTAAGCAGAAATTTTTATTTGTTTTTTAAACTTACGTTCCTGATTTCAGATCAGATATAACTGAGGGACGGATGGATAAAGGTGGTACCGGAATCCTCGTCAGTATCAAATCAGCAGGTTTTGAAAGATTATAATTCATAACAAGTAATGGAATATCTTGAGATGGAATTGCTTCAAATAATCGTAAAACCTAGAAGTAATGAAATTGCAAAAAGTCAACTAATTACTCTTGGAATCAGCTTATGAGAGTAATAAATAAAAAATAAATTATGATTTGTCCAGACTAATTTTTTTATAGATTTAATGAAATTTATGAATTCTTAGGAAACAACAAAAACATTACATAAACTATGATTTTATATGTTATATTTAAATTTCATTCAAAACTAAATACAGTACCTCTTGTGGATTCAGAATTTGCCCAGTCAGACTGACTCCAGATAATTCTTTGCCATGCTCAGAATCCTTACTCAATTCAGCTGTAAACAAAAATTATAAATAATAAAAATATAAATTAACATTATATTATAAAAGTAAAACATACCTAATACATTCTGCAAGACTAAATCTGGTTTTTTGCTATTTTTTTCATGTATGATTTTTAAAAGCCCACATTTTTTAACCATGCCATTGTATTCACCACAATGAGGGCAAACGCTAAACTTTTTGGCTCTTGTTTGTATTTGTTTTCTCAATGCTTTTCTTACTAAGTATGATAAATTTTTATTCCTTAACTTGTTATAATAAACTTGCCTTTCCTTTTCAGGAATTAAAACTCTCGCACACAACGGATTCTATAACACAAATACATACAAATAAATTAAATATAAACTAAAATGTTGTCATAGAAAAAAAATTTTGAGCAGAAGTTGACAAGTGTCATGTATGCTTGACAGGTGGATGAAATCACATTGTATATAAAAACTCAATAATATTATAGTTAATCTATAAATATATGTAGACGACGCCTTGGCTTGGTGAGAGGTTCCAACCTCAGCTAAAAAGGACAAATTATAGACAGCACTCTCTTTCTCTTTTCATTTTTTAATCCTTACTCGGCTATTTCTGATATTTGAAATGAAAAATAATTTTATTCTGGGATTACTGTCTCCTAAGAATAATAAAAGAGTTACAAATTTATGTATCTTAGTCTGACATAATAAAAATACCAACTAATTTATTGTTAATTCTTATTTCAATTGTGCAATGGATTGAAATTAAACATTGTATAGATGCAAATAATTTTACATGTTAGGGGAAGTTTGAATGTGGAGTAGGTGTTGGAACAGGAGTTGTTTGAAGGAATTTGTGGATGAGGATTGATGCATGGGGGTAGGAAGTGAGTTCCATAAGGAAGGAAGCAGCACGAATGACGAAGGATTTGCTGAAGGAGGAAGTTTTATGGGAGGGAATATATAAGTCTATAGGTTGAGACCTAGTATTGAGAGAGTGGATAGAGGAGCGCAGAGTAAGGAGTTCCAGGATGTAGGGAGGGTTTTTAGTTCTGAAGACTTGGAAAAGGAAAACACCAAGAAGGAATTGTCGTCGGGAAGTAGGATAAAGCCACTTCAACTCGGTGTACCATAGTGAAACATGTGAACGTCTGGGGATCCCGAAAATGAATCTTATGAAACAATTCATGAGTCTTTTTAGTCTCAATTCCAGCCTGGCAGATAGCCCTCCATACACCAAGCAGCCGTAGTCGAAGTGGGGGAATACAAGGGAGGTTACAAGGAGCTGTCTGGTTTTTAGAGGAATACAATCACGGAATCTTAGGAGTTGTTTAAGGGCAGTTATGGATTTTCGGGTAATCTGGGAGATATGATTATCCCAGGAGAGGTTCTGGTCAAAGGTTACTCCTAGGTTTTTGACTGTAGGGAAAAAATGGATGGGGTGGTTATTGAGGTAAAGTAGAGGAAAGTAAGGAAGGGAGCTGATGAGATTTTGGACCCGATGATAATAGCCTTGGTTTTATCTGCATTCAGCTTTAATTCATTTATTTCTGCCCATCTGTTGATGCAGTCGATGTCCTCTTGTAGCCTCCGGGCAGCCTCAGGCATCTCAGAAGGTTGGAATGATTGGTATATTTGGAAATCATCGGCATATAGGTGGTAATTGGAGTGTTGAATGGCATTAGGAAGGTCACTAATATAGATGGAGAAAAGGGTCGGGGAGAGTGAGGAACCCTGAGGAACACCTCGTGTTAATTGAAGTGATGATGATGGAGGTTTATTCGGTATTGTAACTGTCTGAGATCGATTGGATAAGAAGGATAGGAACCATTTTAGGACGCTGTTTGACATGGGCAGGCTTTGTAGTTTGGAAAGAAGGATCTCATGATTAACGGAATCAAACGCCTTGGAAAAGTCAAAAAGAATTAGGATGGGGTTTTTCTGTTTATCTATGGCGGATTGGAGGTCTTGGGTAATCCTTAGCAAGGCAGACTGGGTGGAATACTGGGATCGGAAACCAGATTGTAAGGGATTGAGGAGATGGTTTTGCTCGAGAAAGCTGTTCAACTGAGAGTGAACTAATCTTTCTAGAGACTTGGATAGATTAGATAGAATGGAGATGGGTCTGAAGTCGGAAGCTGATGAAGGAGTTGGAAATTTGTTCAGTGGACGGACTATGGCTCTTTTCCAGGATTTGGGAAAAATAGAATTTTGGAGAGAGAAATTATATATATGTAGAAGTGCGGGTAGTAAAGCTGGAAGGCAGAGTTTGATAACTTTAACAGGTATTTGGTCAGGACCATAATCATTCGTTTTGGATTTAAGGGTGGCAGAGAGCAGGTCAGTAGGAGAGATGTCGAGAAAGTAAAACTTATCAGGATCAAAGGAGGTTTCGGTAATGGAAAAAGATGAGCGGACAGATGGAGATGTGGATAGAAAATGGTTAGTCAAAAAAGAATTTAGCGTGTTGGGATCGATTGGATACTGTGAGCAGGTTTTTGAGGTAACAACAGAGAGATTCTTAAGGATTTTCCATTTGAATTTAGGGTTAGGTTCTTGGGATAAAACATTATTGAAGTATTGGGCTTTGGCGCGACGTAGGGTCATTTGTGTGAGATTTCGTAGGGATTTAAATGTGGAATAATGCTCAGTTAGTCTAGTACGTCTGTATCGTCTTCTAGCAGTTTCTCTTCTCCTCATTAGTTCTCTTATTTCTGTATTGATCCAAGGAGCGGGAGGACGTCTAAAGACACGTGTTTTTAGAGGTGCGTGACAATTGAGAAAATCGAGGAGGTTGGAGGAAAGGCATTCAACCACATCATCGATGGAGGGGAGAGAATAGATGTGTTCTAAGCAAGTGGAAAGAGAATCGAGGAAGGGGCTGATGTTTTCAGTGGTTAAGGAATCTAGATCTCTCCAGGAAATTTGTTTGGGTTTAGGTGAAGGAGTAGAGAAGTTGTATGTTATTTCAATAAGATCATGGGATGAAAGGAAGGGAACTGGAATTTGCATAGAGGGTAATAGGTTATGTGGGGAATCAATAATAAATAAATCTAGCTAAGTATCAGTGGATTGGGTGTGATGGGTGGGTAGAAAGGGTACGATTAATAGATCGAAGGAAAAAACTAGGTCGGTAAGATATGTTCTGTCCGGAGTGTTTGAAAGGAGGTTGGTGTTGAGATCACCAGCGATAATATTTTCGTAGAGAGGAATATATGTAAGGAGGGAGGATTCGAGAGTGGGATCGAATCGGACACGAGGAGGTCGGTAAATAACGATAAAGAGTAGTGGTAAGGTACTAAAGGAAACCTGGGCAAACAGATATTCTATGTTAGGGACGTCTGAAGGAGGAGATTTTAGAAGGACTTTGGCCGTCAAACTGTCATGTACGAACAATCCCACACCTCCACCTGTTCGTTCCATTCGATCATGACGGAAGAGGGTATAGTTGGGTAAGGAAACGGATAGGGAGGGAATATCAGGTTTGAGCCAAGTTTCTGAAACGGCTATGATATGATGGAAGTTATGGTGAAAATAATCGAGGAATTCGTCATAATGTGCTAGAAGGGATTGGGAGTTAACGTGACAGGATATTAAGGTCTTGGTCATGAAGAGGTCAGGGTAAGGATAATCTGCGGAGTGTGACAAAGTGGTTTTAATATTGATGGAATAGGCACATTTTTAAATTTACATAATGCGATATAGTAACTTGAAGTCTTTAAATGAAGGTAAGCATAGAAAAAATTAAAATCTGATTCGAAGTAAAATAAGAAAATTTCATCTTTAAAAAAAATACTTAATAAGCAATAGAATAAATTATTATGAACTATAGAAACAAAAAAGACCAATAACATATTTAAAAAATTAAAATAAAATAAAAGATATTCAGAAAAAAGAGGTTGGAGGGAACCGTGAGACCTATTTCATTCCAGCAGTTCAATGTCTTCCTTTTTGTTGACAGTAATGACCGGGGATCCATCCTGTCTTCTGTATCGTACCTTTCCTCCAGCGAACCATACGTATCTCAGCATACCCGACGCCCTTTTCTGCCTTGCCAACCAGTATAAATGTTTATTACCTGGACTCATTTCTTCACCCAGATAAATTCTCTCGTCGCTGTTCCGGCCCAGATGCCGCGTGGAAAAGATAGAGCAAACCAAGCCCTCGGTAGTTTCTCCAGCATCGGGTGTGATACCTCTTATTTCCAGGGAGTTGGATAGTTGAGCTTGTTCTGTTTGATTAAGTCTCACCTCCAGGTTGCTAATTTGAGATTTTAACTGTTTATTCTCACTGAGTAAATTTTCTCCTGCTTAAATGCCATCTCTTCTATTTTTTCAAGTCTCTCATTATTTTCGAATGCGAGATCACTTTGCTTTCTGAGTGAGACTTTAACTTTCTTTATATCCCCGGCGATCTTTTCCACCTCAGCCAAAATAGAGGTATTGCTCTCTTCTGACACATCCACGGTTGCTGTGCTCTGCTTACTTTGAGGTTGTGTACATGATGCACAAAACCAATTTTTTTTTGTTGCTGCGTTAAGTCGGCTTCAGAGACGTTTATACATTTTTTATGGTATATTAATTTGCACGTTGTGCAAACAAATGTTGTTTTATCCTCTCTGGCTATGGTATTATTGCATTTAGGACATAGAGTCATCGTGAGCAGCTGATTAACTGGGTAATAATAATAGAGTAGATACCGGTAGAAGTGGTGGGGAGAGGTAGCCGTAGTGGGGTTAAGCGCCTTATCTTATGCTCGGCTATATCACAACAATTTTAAATTGTTTTCTTACCTTATATTGTTTTTAGGTATTGATGATTTAATTCAAAAGGTTATATTAATCACCAACGCAATTAACATTAACAGCACTTTAAATATTTTAGTGACGGTGAACTGAACTGTAATAGCACAACTAGAAATTAAACACGAACACCAATGCTATCTGTTTGAAGGCTAGGGCCAGACTCAATATTTGTGGGTTTATTCTACAAGTAAGCAACCTATCTAAACCTGAGTAGGAAGGTCGACATTCATTCAATTTGAACCAGCTCTGATAGGCTCAAGGTTGCTAAATGTAACAATGCCCTAACACTTTATGACATCACATCCTTCAAGTTCAGGATCTTAATTAAGATCAATATGAACATGACAACTGTCAAGCAGACTTGATACTTGTCAACGATTACCAAATTTGGTATACACACATAGTATTTAATAGATTCGATTACACAAACCTTGCATATTGTTTGTAAAATGTTTATAACTGCCCTAAAATATCCAATATGAAACACTGGAAGCTGTAAGTCTATATATCCATAGTGTCCAATGCAGTCGTTTAATCCTTTACCGCATGTACCACAATTTGCATCTTTTTGATTTGTACCCTGGATAAGAAAATATATTAAGCCATTGGATATATAACTATTACCTTAAATCAAAGTCAATTTTAAAATTGTTTTACCATTTTTCTATCTAAAACCCCGTAAGGTACTGGGGTTCTTTGAGAGTCCTGTGAGTATAAGTTTTTAGCAACAACATGCAAATGAGCCTGTTGCTGCATTTGTTGAGGTCCATCTAACCCAAAACTAACGTGTGATCTAAAAAGAGAAACAAAGATAAACAACCATATATAAACACTGCATGATAGTAATTTTTTTAAAATGTCAATTAAATTAAAGTTATAAACCAATAGTTACATTTTACGGGCCATAGCCGTTTCACGGTACAATTCCTTGACCATTGTAATAAAATTCACAAAACTCAAAAAACAAACAGAACACAGCTCGACCTAAAGATACCTAACCTGCCAAACCCATGCTCACAACAATAACCAGTATGAAGACTTCCGTCTCATTTTCAGAGAAGTTAGTAATGACAATACCTAGAGCTAAGTTCTTTGGAATTATAAACATGGATGACAATCAACTTTAATGGTCAATGATAGATAAGAAAATTGATATGATTGAAATTACTAAGGTGAAGGAGATCCCCTCAGATTTAAAAACATTATTTTAAAGAATTTATCCATTTAATTAAACTAGAAACCTACACCTTTCATGAAAAGGTCAGCACTCTTAATCGCTGATACTTTGAACTAATGTAAATAAGATTGGCCATATCGTCAGATATCAAATATATATTTAAATATTAGTAGGATATCCCTGTGTTAGAGATATATAAACCAAATGTAGAACACGGTCTCATCGGATACTCAGATGGTATTAAGATTAGGAATGCCCACTATTTTTTACTTTCCTACCTATACTAGGCAAGGAAAGTATTGCGATCGGGTCAAAAACGGATATATACGTTTAAGAGCCTCCTGATTCCGAAAAACCCATTTTTAGCCATTGATCTGTCTGTGCCAAGAGTTTCTAGTAAACTATTGAACCGATTTTGTTGCTTCTTTTTTTATTTTGTAGCTGCTGCGCAATTAATGAAAAACATGTTTTTCTTTAGACTGTTTTTCTATATAATGTTCTAATAATTATAATCATCGGAGTCGTACTAGTATTAGCGATGATACAGCGTATTATATTTTCTACGCATGTTTTAATTGATTACTTTCTATGAAGGTGCGATCTCTTCCTGTTTTGAGTCTAAAGAACAAAATATGCTCTTTCCACCTCACTTTATAATAGTCATCTTCAGGATTATAATGTGGGTGGGCATCATTTCATCTTTGTTGTACAGTAGCTTCATTTATGGAGATGGCCTCCTGAAGGATTTTAATGCAGTTTACTCGAGGGGATGCAGTTCCTTCCTTTCCTAGTTCTTTTTTATTTGGTTCCGTGTCCGAGTATCATTTGGAGTAATACTCTTATATATTGAAGTTGGAGCTTTCTCAATTTCTCCCACTTGAGCGTGGATTCAGGATTTCTATCTGGATTTGACGAACTGAAGTCGCATCTGACAAAAATACTAATTTGGAGTTTGGATTCCTTTTAAGTCACCTCATAATTCTGCTGCCTTTAAATCCTCCTGTCCAGACTTGAATTACGAACATATGTAACGGCTTTGTTAAGGGTGGTAAGAGCCGGGAATCAGGTGTATATTCCTCTGCTCCATCACTAGCAGTGGCACCTGCAACTGATTCACTGGTGTATATCAGAGTCCATGAGGTGGAGGGAAATCTCTTATTTAGCATCTTCAAGACCAGGTATCTCATTAATTGGAGTTCAGTGGGGTCCTTTCACTTGAGTACTGGAATTATCAGAAATCTCGGGTTAAGGAAGGAAATCCCATTGTGGTGAGCTATCTGTTGTTTTGATTAGTTCAGAGTTTATAGAGTTGAGTTTGAGCTCAGAGACCAACATGGTAATTTAGTGAACTGGACTGATGCCTTTGATCCTAGCTCAGTTTATGTGTATTCTGTTTTGTAGTCGATGGTTCTGGCTTTTGTTTCAAGGTTCAAGAACTTAACATATCTTCTGTCTTCCATAGAAAGTAATCCTGTGACAGTTTCTATTTTGTCTACTAGAGTAGATTTAATAGTTCCATTAATTATCCTGAAGTTTGATTGAGCTATCATTTCTCAGCTGCTGATTCCAAATCTGATCACAGGTCTTTATGTTGTTTCCCTCCCCCCCCCCCCCGCTTTTCCAACTGTCATTCTTCAAATGGATAACATTTAGTAGGGAATAAGCGTGTATAAAAATAATTTCCAAGGGAGTTTTACTGTTATGCTGCTCAGATTTCCTCGTGCCCAAAATGATACTTTTCCACTGAGGGCTCTTATTAGGTAAAACAAACCTCAACAAGAACCAGTAGGTGGTTCAGTCATAGTTTGAGGGAAAATCTGATCTTAGTTATCTATATAGATAGATACCATCTTAGTTATCTATTGATTGCAATAATGATTTTAACAACTACTAATATTCCCAATAAACTTCTTAAAAGGCAGGTAAGTAATGTAACCAGTGTTTCCTGTTTGGTAAAAAAAAATCCAAGGTAGGGAGAGGAAAAAAGGGAATTGATTTTTATCAATCAAAGCCTAATCTGAGCACAATTTAATCTATTTTTTAATAATGTTAGTAAAACAAACATAAAACAAGTTGTAACATGTAACATTATGCATTTTTTTGTTTAAATTTGGATGGAAGGGATTTTATTTTAAGTTTGTTCTGAGAGAACAGCAACAGCAACAAAAATCTTGCTGGCCAAAAGGGAAATTAAAAAAAAAATATGGTGGAAAAGCTGAATGTAACATAACTTGACATTCTCTATAAGTGAGAACAAGCCTACCAATCATAATTAAGTTAAACTTTTACAATTAGGTTAATTTCTAAGGATGGTCTGAGAACCAGTTGCCATCTACTTTTAGAATTTCAGGGTGAATGAATTAATCTGGAGTCTATATGATATACCATTTCCTATCAGTCTGGTTGCTGGTTACAAGGCCAGGGTGGCTCAAGCATTCGAAATTAGAAACATTACTAGATACTATATAGAAGGTGGTAAGGTATTATACATTTATAGTAGACATCTTTCATAGGAAGTTCCCTTGGTAACCACAATGATCAAGATGAATGATGAGAAATCTACCATTATATAGTTTGATTTAAGTTTAGATGTTTAAAATACCAATTAGACCAATAATCAAAGAGGGCTTCATTTATTCGTACACTATAATAATAATGTGGGCTCATTTACCTTTCTTATACAGTTAAAATAACTAAAAAAAAAATACTTCAGTATAAAATTATTCCATAGCTTAATTTTTATAATTTATGAATTGCTTGATTTTAATAAGAACCTATGTAATGATAAAAAAAAAAAAGAGGAATATTCAGTTGAAAGATTTGCTGAATCAAGAATAAAACATATAACACACCCACCAATTTTGTGATTAATAACACTCTTGCCTATTTAGGGATGACGAGCAATATGAAATTAAACTAGGAAAATATGATCTATGACACATTTCTTAATAATATTGCCTTCAAATAAATTAACTTAAATTTCAATAACCAATTATTTTATAGATTGTTTTGTGCAGAAATGATTTTTTTAAATAAAAAGATTCCAAAAATCATGATTTTAAAATATAAATGTTTCAGAATTTTTTGATTTTGAAAACAATTTGGTTTAAAAATTGATCTTTATATTGTTTCTTTCAAAAACATATTATCTAAACACTTCGCTCACTTCATTCTTAATCATGATTCATAATTTGTTTGCAGTCCTGATGAAGGCCTACGAATTAGACAAAAATTTTGGTGAACATTAGAGAACACATAATTACTATTTAATTTTTCTTGAATAGACCGACAATTATCTCCAAAATAAGATGCTATTGAATTATTATTGGGTTTCCATTAGTACAATAAGTTATTATTTAGATTGTTCATAGCATACACAGTACAATCTCGATAGACTTCACATTTATGAATCTAGCATGTTCGATTATCCAACTAACTGGTGACATTTTGAAAGAAATTTATAATGGGAATATCAGAAGAGAGAAAGTGGTTTTTATGTCATATTTTTTTATAAAGTTTAAGTATTTGTTGTAATATTTGCTATGTTTTCTTTAATAATATTGACAATACCCAGACTATCGGATCCGGAATTCAGTTGGGAAACTGAAGTTGGCCCTGCTCATTTTAATATTCCAAGAAGAGGACCGATTTGCAGAACAACTGCCGGTCAGAGGAGGGCTTGTTCTTCGCCCTCCTCTGACCGGCAGTTGTTGAAATTTGGATGGAAGGGATTTTATTTTAAGTTTGTTCTGAGAGAAAATCTTACTGGCCAAAAGGGAAATTTAAAAAAAAATATAGTGGAAAAGCTGAATGTAACATAACTTGACATTCTCTATAAGTGAGAACAAGCCTACCAATCATAATTAAGTTAAACTTTTACAATTAGGTTAATTTCTAAGGATGGTCTGAGAACCAGTTGTCATCTACTTTTAGAATTTCAGGGTGAATGAATTAATCTGGAGTCTATATGATATACCATTTCCTATCAGTCTGGTTGCTGGTTACAAGGCCAGGGTGGCTCAAGCATTTGATATTAGAAACATTACTAGATACCATACAGGTGGTAAGGTAATATAAATTTCTAGTAGACATCTTTCATAGGAAGTTCCCTTGATAACCAAAATGATTAAGATGAATGATGAGAAATCTACCATTATATAGTTTGATTTAAGTTTAGATGTTTAAAACACCAATTAGGCCAATAATCAAAGAGGGCTTCATTTATTCATAATAATAATGTGAGCTCATTTACCTTTCTTATACAGTTAAAATAACTATAAAAAAAAATACTTCAGTATAAAATTATTCCATAGCTTAATTTTTATAATTTATGAATTGCTTGATTTTAATAAGAACCTATGTAATGATTAAAAAAAAAAAAAAGAGGAATATTCAGTTGAAAGATTTAGTGATAACATTGCTCTGCAAAGAAAAATTGTTTTTATTCTCTTGAGAAATTTTTCATGATTTTTATATTTTCATGAGTGCTGAATTTGAACCTGAAGTCCAAAGAATTTTATCAGACACCATTTTTTTGCATGTTCTTTCACACTTCTTTTATTTATCTATTATCTTGTGAATAAGAATAATAAATAAAATATTTAATCCTGAACATAACATAACTTCATGCCTAGTCAATGTGTATATTTTTTTTATAATGTTCATCAGCTGTCTCCCACTGCAATGTCTAATAGTAGTCAGCAAAAGCATCTTCTCATTACATTTACCACTCACTATACCTCTTCTTCATTCGGGCTATATCTTGATAAAATTGTTTTCATCTGAAACTGTTCCCAAGTTGGGAGGGAAGAAATCCAAATGAGAACACACAAAAAAAATATATAATGAATTTTTAATGAAATTGTAACCCATGACCTTATATGATAAATTCTTTAAAAATGTATTTGTAATTTGTAACCCAGAAATTGTTGACATATAAGTTTTCAAACATAGACCAAGCTCTTTTTGCAGTTTCATTTCATTTTTCTTTGAATTCCAGGTCCTTAGAGTGCAGATGATGCCAAAAAAAAAAAAAAAAACTTGAAGCCTAGCGTGTAAGCTCTCACAATTTGTTCGTGTTGTAATAGCTTCAAAATCAAATTTTTTTTTTCATTTTTGATTTAAGTTTTCAATGATGAAAAAATGCTTGTGTCAAAAAACACCTCATTTTTTGATCCACAACACAACTTTGACTTTAAATGGTGAATGATAGAGATTTTCTTGTATTAGTGATCAACATATTTCAAAACATTTCTGTTAAAAGGAGGATTTTGATACTTTTCGGTATAATCCGAACAACTGTGGTTCTCATATTTTTCAGATTAACAAGATTAGACTAGCATTTAATTTAAAATCATATGAGTGGTAGCATCAAAGACAGACATCTGTTATTTTCAGAAATTTTCGTTTAATAGGTTCAACTCAAACTGTCGCTGATGATTTTATTTAAGTATGGTGAAGTTGAACCATGAAGAAAAATGTTTATTAGAATTGGTTTAAATTGAAGATATGTAACAAAAATTGTTTTGTTTTTTTTCTCAAATTTTTGAAAATGACAAGTATGTTTTTGGTATGAGGCCACTCATACATTAATTATTGCCACCATATTTTGCATGGTGCAAAATATAGTAATCATAACATTAAAATAAAATAATGGATATTTACTAAATAATGTTTTTCATCATTTCAGCTTCTAAACATTTTAAATTAAAGTAAATTTGACAATGGAAAAAAAAGATAAATAAAAGCAAAATAAAAATAATAGAAAATTTATCTTATATCAAAAGATATAAATCAACATTGTTTAACAAGTTCTACAAAACGACTAACAAGGAGAAAAAAATATTGGTAAACATTTAATATATTTACATGATTATAAATATATTGGCAGCAAAAATGTGCCAAAGAATTTTCATCTTGGTGAAACAGTCAGCACCAGATTCCGGTAGTGTCAAAATTTATTTAACAATGTAACACTGTACACCACATTAAGATTATCTATAACCGACTTTATGACAGCTCAACAACGTATTTGTCACATCAATTTCTGTCTTTTTCATGTTGTATCCTAATTTGATAGGATTTGGAAACCAAATTCCACGTTTCCAGGTATCGGTCCATACACATGGCTACACATTTCTGAAATAAATATAAAACAAGCAATTAGTCCAATGTTAACTAATAGTTAAATGTTATTATAACTAGAATTAAAAACTCATAAGATTACTAAGCAATATCAAACTATTTCAATATGTTGATGAAATATTTCAAATATAGCACTACTAAACAACATTGACCACCAGCTTTTACTATTATGCACAACATATCCTAAAGTGATAAATGTCTATATCAAATTTAGAATGCTTAACATACAAATTTTATCATGGTATCAGTACAAACTCAAGAGCCAGAAAAACATTAAACTCTCCAATTTATTATGAATTTTTCAATTAAAAAGCGATTTGAAGTTACTTATCACATTCGTTATATATTTGATGTAGTTTTAGAAATCACAATTATGCTATTAAATTACTAATACAAATGCTCACTAGAAAATGAAACTTGTAAGATTATACCATTATATTTAATTTCAACTGTTGAGAAAATATTTTAAACCCAATAAAAAGATATAATTTAGCTGTTTTACAGCTACTGGATAGCGAAACAATAAAACTGCTAATAAAATCACAGTTTATACAATGAAAATCAGTCTTGCAAATTGAAAGTTATATGACAGAATATACCACTTACCTGTTCCGAGTTATCTAAAGAAGCACCTGGCTTAAGAATGCATTTTTTAAAACACTTTTCACTCATTTTCTGAAAATAAAAAATATACTAAGATAAGAAACACAGATATTTATTCAGTAAATTTAAGCAATGATTTGTTCATTAAGATCTCTAATTATCAGGTGAGAAAAGAATTGTATTTAACGATTTGTATTCCTGGTGCTAAAGCAAATTATTTAAGTAGAGTAAAATATAAATAAAATCTATTTCTTTAAAAAATTGCCGGTGGATAGGTTATAAGTGAAATACCTACAGTAATTAATTCTTGGGCATTGGCAATAGCTATTTGTTGCTTGACATTTTCAATTAGCTCTTCTTTCTGAGAAGACGATAAACCTGAAGTTAAAGATTCCATTATTAATATATTTTACTGAAAATCTGACAAATAACGTGTCCTATTTGGCATGAGCTTAAATTCGTCACTGCCAATCAAATACATCTTTGAGATTTTGAATTTTTTTATCGACAGTTATTTGCAGTTTTACATGTACATTCAAAGAATCAGAATTTTCAAATTTTAAAGTTATGGATAGATAAATTATAGAGAATTTTACATTAATGCAATTCTGGCACCATTAGTGGCGCGAGATTTAAATATATATTGTAAATTAAACTTACTTCTTGTATCTGAATTTGATATTAATGAGTCGTTAAACATCATTAATAATACTTTATTATTTTTTTTATTATTATAACCTCTTTATCAGAATAGCCTGTAATACATAAGATTCACAATACAGTACAATTATTATTTATTGAATTTAACCTAGAAGTAAAAAAGTGAAATACCATTTTCATTAAAATTCGATGCTCATTAATATCGATAATCATATTTATGGGGGAAAAAACAGCTGTCACCTTATGGTCATTCTTCACTCTTACATTTTCAATACACAAATTTCATATTGCTCATTTTTTCTAATCATAGAATTGTACTACGAATTTCCTTAATGACTTTTATATAAACAGTTAATTTAAGTCATTCATCAAAACTATTGCTTCATTGTGTTTTTCTCTCTTCATTAATTGATTCACAGCTGTAAAAAAACAAGAGATCTTGATCCATTATTATTATTATTATTTTATTGTTATCAATTATTCATCACAGGTGTTTTTTATCGGTACCCATTATCTCCTTTTCATATTTCATCAAAGCTAATGATAGAGCCATAATTTGGAAGATGAACTTAATCGCTAATGACGAAAAATAAACCAAGTCTTTTTTTTGTTTTTTTTTAGACTTGCGCCAAAAGGCTACAATAATTAATAATAATTATGATCAGTCATGTTATTGTTTGCTCTTGTCCTAACATATAGGGCAGAGATAGCTTATATTTTTCTTAAGCTGGCAATCCGTTTAAAAATAATGAGTGAGGGGAAAAAATACTGTCATCATTACCTAAGCAATTCAGGTTCATCAAGATCATTTAGGTTCCGTAGAAAATTGAGATTGACCAATCATAAGTGAATCAGCTTGGTGGACGAGTTCATCATGAATTCCAAAAACACGACCTCTCCCATTCAATATTGCAATTTGATAGAGAAAAGGAAAATAAAAATGTCGCTTAAGAAAAAAATGCTTAGAAGGCAAGAATAATGATATGGTCAACACAGGAATAGAGAAAGGATACAAGAAAGAAAAAACAAAAAAAAAAAAAACGCCCAGATATTTTTTCTGGGCAAGACATGTTCGTATTAATTGAATTGAAAAATATTTTTAAATAAAACTTAGTTTTTAATTCGGCTCGGTCATAAATTAAAACTCAACCTTGAAAATTTTAGATATAAATTACCTTTTGGTAGTTTAAGTAATTTTTGTTTTTTGTAAATTCCGACTATGATGCTCTGCAGGCTATGCGGTATTGCCACGTTTCTGTCCAAGAGTAAATGTAGATGTATTGTGTTTTTCTTTTCAAAGGGTCCCTCTGGGAATAGCTTGTAATTGGCTAGTTTCCTAATGTTTTCCTAGTTAAACTTATTAGTTTAATAAGCGTAGCTGATACTAATACCATAATTCAAAAATGGACTCTGGTGCCAAAGGTAACTTATTTAAGTAGTGGCGTACCTTGACCATTTGGAGCCAGGGTTGGATTTGTTTTGGAGAAGCCATTGAAAAAAAAATTATAATAAATAAATAAAAAATTGGTCTGCCTTAAATAAAAATGTCTGTCTTACGGAACCTGACTTTAGAGCCGTCCTGATGAAGGCCTGAACCTTGGGCCAAAACGTAGTCAAAAATAAAAATAAATACAATTTATTTATTTTTGCTTTATTACTCATGACTGAACACCCCAACCAATTTTTTAAAAAATAAATAAATATTTAAAATTGAAAAAGTACTCTTTCATCATATTTCCAATAGGATATATAAATTTTAAATATTCATTTGCTATAAGAAGAACCATTATTTATAATATTAAGTTGAATAATCATCCAACTGAATATAAATACTTTCGTGCTGAAGCACTCTTCCTCCCAATATAAATATATATATATATATATATATATATATATATATATATATACACATATATATTGAATAATAACACATGCATTTCAGCTACTAAATGTAAGCACGTGTCTAGAAATTTTTTTTTTTTTATTATTTATTATTTTATTTATGATATTTTCAACTGTATAATAACAAATATACATCTAGTAAATGTGATACATATAAATATAATGACATGAGTACACTTGTAAAGGAATTAACCATTGGGAGCACTCTAATAAAATTGCTAAATTAGGAGATCACTAATATAAAGTATAATTAGGCCACGAAATATAATTAGATCACGAATATAATACAATTAGACCATATTCTTTTCAGACGCCTCTGAGTGTTATCGAGGATCGAAGAGGATTCAAGGTTAGAAACGAGAGGATTCGGATAGTTTTGAAGTTTATTATGGAAGGATAGATATCTGGATTGGGACAAGTCGGATACATGTGGAACATTAAAGTCTTTATGGATTATTTTATTTGTGACAAAGTAAGAAGCATTGAGAACTTTACGAAGGATTTTCGATTGTAGGGATTGGATACGAGAGGAATTTGAAGGTTTAGTGGAGCCTCAAAGTATACTACGTAAATCTTAATAGACCTTATTACGATCAAATAAATGAGTCTTTTGTGATTAACTGGAAGCTTATTGCGTAAATGTTGGAGAAAGCGGAAACATTGAACAGTTTCTTGTCGTTTCAAATTTGTATGAGGATTTCAAGTGAGACGTTTGTCCAGGCGAATTCGTAGGTATCGGATATATTCAACAGGGGTAAGTGAGGTATTATTAAAGAATACTGTAGGACAGTAACTATTAGGCTAACGACGAAGGGTAAAGGTGATTTGATGGGATTCGTTGGAATTTATTTTAATCCTACAGTTTTGACACCATTCTTCAAGACTAGTGATGGGTCATTATTAATTTATAGGAAATATGTGTCATCGGTATACGTGGCGATGACAGTGTTAGAAAAGGTTGGAATATCAGCTGTGTAAACTGTGTACGGATAGAGCCACGGCTATTATTGGCTTGAAGAACACCAGCAGATTGAGAAAGAAGAATAAATAGGCATTGTTGTGATTTACTTTGAAGTGTCTATTTGTAAGGTAGGAACGGATGATAAGAAAGCATGTAGAGGAGAAGGAATTTACGGAGTTTGTAATTCAATCCCGGATGCCAGACTCGATCAAACGCCTGTTCAACGTCGAGAAAGACTCCAGTGCGATACATTCCGCGCTCCAATGCAGAGGAGACAATGTCTACCTCACGATGACTTTGCTGGATAGTGGAATTTTATGTGCGGAATCCAAATTGGTGATCAGATATTATGTGATTAGAATCTAGCAATGGAATGCAGGCGTTTAAGCAAAAATGTAAAAAGTTTATCACTGAAAGTATTATTAATTCTTTTGACAGTCCTGTTGATATCGACATTTACGAAATGTTGAACTAATAGTTCTTGATTTTTAGTGAGCGAGATAGTAAATTTTATTTTAATCTTGAAAAAAATATAAACAATGCTGACATTTTGTCCTTTTTGTGAAAATATCTATTATATATATTTTTTCGAAATTCTTTAACGACTTTTATGTTTAGAAGACTACTTTTCTTAAATGTATATACAGGAACTCTTTATAAGCATCTCTTCTGAAGCATCGTCCTCTATGGTGTAGTCCCTATAAAGCAAATCGGAAAAGGAACAACATTCATAAAGAGGGACCTGAAAAAGGTTATTGATCACATATTTATAGATTGGGGAATATTGATAATAAATAAAGATTTGATATGAGCTACAATTTATTCAGTTTCGTATAGAAGTATAGTAGCCCCGATGGTAGTTTGGGTCATAATAGCTAGGGCTGATGTAGCTGTAGGGTCTGTATTGAGTCCTGGAGGGCTGTCTTCGGTGAGCCACAGTGTAATAAGTAGATCCGCTCTTGGGGTACTGCGATGGGGTGTAGCCCGGCTGCATGTAGTAGGGGTATTGGTAGGGAGTCATGTACCCTTGGGTACACGGGCACTGGCACATCTGCGTACCTTTTAGGGTACCCTGCCCTGCGCTCTGCTGAATACTCTGCTGAGTGATCTGCTGAGTGTTCTGTGAGAGTGTATGTTGATTCATTTGTCCCTGTTTTGCCTCAGCTGTGGCACTTTTGGCAGCGCTGCAATCAGTAGTACAGTTTGACCTGTACAAAAAAAAAATGATTTAAGAGTACTGAAATTATTTTTTAATGACTAAATTAATAATCATTAAAATTACAGATAATTTTGACAATTATGTTTCATGATGAATCAGTCACAGTTAGCCATTATTAGATACCGGATTTTTGTACAGTAAAAATCCGGAAAACGTGTAGTAAAAAACTTAAAATGTGCAAAATTGTGCAATAAAAACCCAAAACATGTAAAATTATGTTATTAACAGCTAAAAACGTGCAAAATAATAATTGTTTAATTTATAATATTAATGCATCAAAGTCTTATCATATCATATTAAAACGTACCATTGAAAATAAAATTCCAGTTTATAATCAAAAATGCATAAATATCTATTATTACAAGATTTTTTTTTATTGCTTCTGACAGTTTAAGTTACCCTGCTCCCCCTAGTGGATTTCCAGGATGCCAGTGGCCTCTACAGATTTGGTCCAAGGGTAATCTGTTTCGACAAATGAACTACAATTCCTCCTAAACACGCTGAATCTGAGCAGCCATAATCCTTGGATCTAGACAAATTTGTCACTGTCCTTAAACACGACTGAGTCGGTGGGAAAGAAGCTGTAAAATTTTTCCAAAGAGATCGGCTATGGTGTTATAGGCGGCTTTTCGCAGCAGAACGAAGACTATGGTTCCTTGCAGCTTGAGGTTAGGTGACCATCTTCGGTGACTCTCTTTTAACTCCGGCGTAATCCCTTGGCCCGGAAAAAAACATACAACCTAAAAGGAGAGGAAGAGGAGAAAAAGAAAAAATAAACAATTCGAATAATTAAACTTATCGAGGAAAAATATAAAAATGTTTTCTCTACAAGCATTATCTTTCCTTCAATTACCGTTATGAATAAAAAATAAATAACTAAAAAAGTAAACCCTCCGAAATTGAATGCCAAATTAATTTAAACTGAGATAGTAAACTGCTTATATAAACATTTCTGACCTCCATTATTTGATAATTCCAACAGTCTCGATTTCCACACTCTTTATTCCGGATAATTCATGTTTTAATACTATAACTAATAATATAATGAATGTTTACGATGAAAGGTTTAAGAGTTCCATAGTTGACATTTGCTTACTTTTTTTGTTGTCCATTTCCTTCCTTGGTTGCAGAGCGCTGCTGAGAATCAATGAGCGCGATGACAGGAGAGAGGGGCAGGGGCTGGGAGGGAATCGAACTGACAATGTTGTTGAGGGGAGCCATTGCACTTTTCATCGCCGCTTCGGAAGCCGGGTCATCCACGGACCTCGTCTGGATCGGAGAGGAGTATCCGTAGCTGCCGTAGCCACTGGGGGAGTAGAACCCGCCCTCGTTTCCATAGTTGGAGCTGGGATAGAGGTCG